AAGCATCACCTTGCAAGGTAACAGACCAACATTATGTTCTTGCTTCCACATTGTGCACGGATGTCAAGCAGCAAATAGTCGATTTGATGTTTTGACTGGACGATCCTGCGGAAGCCTAGTCAACATACAGAGATCTTTACGATTCTTAACATCGAAAGGAGAAGGAACGAAGACTCTGGCAACCTACACACAACAAATTATCGCATTGAAAGGCGTTACAATGTTTGGAATCGTCAAAGATTTGTAGACAGGTTTATTGGTAAAATTATAATACATTTTAATTGTGTTGTATTGATATTAAGCATGCACGAAAACTATAAATGGTGCCTAACATAGCAGTTTGAATAGCGCTTTCAGTGTTGATATCAACTATTATCATATTAGTAGAATTGCCTTGTTGAATTGGAAGCTTTGTCTGATTTTGATATTATTAAAGTTGCCATTAGCTATCAAGTTAGTCAAATTGAGTTGTTAATTTGGGATATTTGTCCAATTTAGATAATATTAATTAAGATCTTATGTTTCCTTTTCTACAAGTTTATATCAAGGTGGTTATGAAAAATCAAAAAAAATTATATATTCTTTTTAATCAAAATTATATACAGCAACAAGTATAAAATTCAAAAAAATAAAGTCCATGTTGTTATAGACACTCAATTTATTAAATTTTAATTACATAATTATTAGATTAAACATATCAACTTATTAATAATAAAATGATATTATTAAATCTACACAAGTGTAATGTTTAATTTTTTTAAATCATAGAATCTAATATTTCTATGGTTTAGATGTATTTTAACACTATTTTAAATATAATAAACTACAAAATATAATTAATGAATCATTTAAATTATTAATTAATTACTTATTTATTATTAAGTTTGTTTTATAACATTGTTAGATGGACACTAATTAGCATAATGATGCAAATATCAACTAAACTTTTTTTAGAAGAACATAACAATATGATAAAGAGAATTCATCTTATTATAATAATTATTGTATTTATTAAATTTAGTAATTCAATAAAATAATAAATTTTATTTCAGATGTGTAAAAAACTATTAATTTTTATTTAAAACTTCTAAGCATAAAATTGTGTTAATATTTTTAGTAAAAATATATATTTTTTTAATGAATTTATTTTTAAAATATAAACAATTACTTTTTAAAAATTATTAAAAGAATAAATATTTTAATTCTGCACACAATATTTATATTCATAGTCGAATTCATACTGGTCATGCCTCTAAAATAATACAGAGTTAAAATTATTCTTACAACTTCTCAAGTATCTTCCTTGCACATTGCTCTTATAGTTTTACAATCTTTTTTTTGAATGAAGCAAAAAAATCTACGAATTTTTATCTATCAAATTAATAAAAAATGCATAAAATTTATTGATATAAAATAAAACATCAGAAATTAATAGAAATATATATATATATATATATATATATATATATATATATATATATACATATATATATATAAATTTAAAATGTTCATAAAATGTTTTATAGTTAATTGAGTTTAATACAATTTTATTCTTAAACATATGTACAAAACTACAACTAAAATCAAGAAAGCATGAAAAGAACAAATTTTTCTTTTTATTGATATTAGAGTGTTCTGGCAAAACCAAAACATATTATAGATACATATATTCATTATAGTATAGTTCTAAGCAACCTTCAACATACTAATAGATACCATTAAATATATAATTTTTCTTGATTTTTTTTAATTCTAAATACCTTCATGTATTGTTAAAACTTAAAATATCACATATCATTTAAAGTGCAACATTCATTTCTTAAAATTATATTGATTTTTTTTTTTGGAATGATTAGTGTAATTTAATTTTCAAATATTTATTTTAATAATATTTTGTATTTATATATTATGCCATTAAAAAAATTAGACACTAAAATTTTTTTTTGCAAAGAAATTATAAAATATTTTATTATTATTATTAGATTATTCATAACATATTAGGTTAAAAAGTAATTAGTTTTAAAACTAATAATATAAGAGATTATCTACGGATAATTAAAATAAATTTCATGTTGATTTATATTTACTATTAAATAATTTTATAAATCGATTAATATAATTAATAAAAACTAAAACATGTTTATTGTAATTAATAAAACTTTGGTGCTTAATTCAACCATAATATTGTGATTAAAGTTTTAGTATTAGTAGATTACATATAAGTTCTAAGCTTTAATAACTTCTACAATAATTATTGATGCAATTTTTAAAATCTATAAGAAATAAGGTATTATTTTATCTTTAAATAATGTATTTATAAAAAAACACAAATATATATATATATATATATAAAATCTTCACAATTTATATTTTGATGCTTAATTTAAAATAAAATTCACAGAATCATAAAATTTATAACATATTTTATTAAATAATAATTTATGTTATAAAATATTTTATTATGACAGAATAATATATGATTTTATTCAATATTTTAATTTCTAATTTTTTTAATTATATATTTTATCGAGTTTTATATATATATATATATATATATATATATATAATTTTCAAAAATAGTGAATAGATTAAAAAATCATTCAAATTCTAAGCAAAAATTACAATATTAAAAATGAATAAAATACTAAGAATTTCTTACATAAACAAATTTAGCATTATTACTATTTTGTTTCATTTCTATCACTAAATCTAATAAGATTTTCATGATTATTTTCATTGCTTAATTTTTAATATACTTATTTTATCTGCTTAGTTATTATTCTAATCTAAGTAATTTTATGTCTAATATTATAATAAATAAGTATATTTATATCTTATTTATTTCATAAAATCTAAAATTTTAGATTCAAAACATTTTAATAAAGCATCAAACTAGAATAGAATGTATAGTATTTTATTCTTAAATATACATAATATTTTTATGCTTAACATTTCTAGTTCTTAATAGAGAGATATAATGTTTTGATATTATTATATTCTTAATATCACATCTCTTTAGAGTATAAGTAAGAAGATGAACATGTCCTATTTAAATAAGGTATTGCTAATGTAAAAATTGTGTCCAATCAAATGGTTTGAAGATATTAAAGAAAGGTAGCATGTGTTATATAGAAGATTGTGGTGGCACTAAAAAAAATTGTGGTAGTATTAGCAATACCCTCATAATAATATAATGCAACAAAATCCTTATATATTAAATTCTATACTCAAAAAATTGGTGCAATTTGAATACAACCACATTTTTTTTATATTTATATAGTCATAGTAAATATATATATATATATATATATATATATATGAATTATATTAAATTAATAAAAAAAATATAGCTCTTTTAAAATATCAAGTAAGAATATAGTAGTGACATGTATTTCAAGAGGTGAATCTAGAAGCATATGATGTGAGGGTAAAATTTGTCCTTTATTCCAAATTACAAGTTGGCCTCAATTAAGAGTTGCTTGTAATTGATGGTATGAATTTGAAGAAGAAATAAACAAGAACAAAAGAAGAACAACACAAAACAAGTAATATGAGTGCAATCAAGCATTTGCACATCACAAAACTAACCACTATTTGTTCATTATATTTTCAATCAAATAAAAAATAAAAATATAAAAAATAAAAAAATATTTTTAGACAAATAAATTTTTATCTTTTCAATAATATAAAATACATTTAAATGTAAGTTATTCTAATTCAATTATGATATTTTAAATATAAAATATAAATAATAATAAATTAAATAAATAAATTTTATTTCAAAGATAATTTGTTTTAGAAATTAAGAATTTGAGCATCACTAAGGTTCACAATTAGTATATATAAATTCCTAAAAAGGCCTTGAACCTTAGTTTTATCCTTCTACCTATATCCAAGGTGCTACAACCTATACAAAATTTATACACATTCCTTCTTATAAAGATTAGACTAGCTATTGCTCGTCCTATTTTAGTTGTTTCTATGTACATACAAATCAATTAAGAAGAGTAAGTTATAATATAATTTATAATTTTATTCTATTTAAAGTGTTCATTCAAATATTATCCAACAAAATATTATTTGAAGTAGGTGAAAAGAGGAATTAGATGGTTAGCATTCCAATTGGCCAATAGTATAGATAAGGTACCATTAATATTAAAAATCCAATCAACTGATTAATTGTAAAATTTACTAAATAAAAAGTTAAAGTAGTTGATAATCATAAGACAATTTAAGATGATTTTCAATAAAATCTTCAAACTTTTGCACTCTGATTTTAAATCAAATCTCCACTTGAAAGTTTTAAGAACAATCTACTGTTATTAATATCAAGGCCATATCATATTATTTTTTGATTAAAAATATAATTAGAATTTAGAAGATCAAATGTTACATTGTATGTTGAAATTACATTTTACATATTAAAATTTTATTAATACTAAGCAATTCAATACTATCAACCACGTCTACAAAAAAATTATCTCATAAATTTGATAATACAATCAGCCCTCATTTTAGCCAATCTCATTAAAGTTAATTTTGAATTATAGCCAACCCATTTTGACTAAATTACACTACACTGCATAATCAACATTATATAGTGTGCTATATTATATAATCAATAATTTCTTCAGTACTATGAGGTTGACTATGACAAGAATTGACCATTTTATTTCTAAACTTGAATATTTTTATGGACAAATTATTTTCTATATACATACATACATACATACATATATACATGCTCTTATCTTATTTGATATTAAAAAAAAATGCAATCTAAATGAGTCTAAAGTTTCAAAATTCCAAAAGTATAAAAATAAAAACCAAAATAAAATAAAAATTCTACAAATATTTTTTTAAAAAAAATAAAAAAATAATAAAATAATAAAAAAATAATCTTAGAGCCTCACATAATCCAAAAGTTAAGTTACAAAACTTGCATTCTAATCCAACCAATAGTACAAAGATTTTTTAATTTTTATATTGTAATCCATCAACTAAACATTCTTCTTTACAAACTTTATTTATTTGTTTCATGAAAATCCACGTTCCACTATTTTGAATATAGTCTCATATTTTAATTCCCACAATTATGAAACCCCTAAAACCTCAAAAATCTCTAAAACTATTTTTTTCCAAAACACGTCAGGTGAAATGAATGAAAAGCTAGTAGACGATTACATCGAAGCGTCACACATCCATCCGTGCCGTTCCCACGACGGGGACGTCAAGTTCCCTAGCGGCTAAGTCAACCGGACGAAGGTGCACCGCTCGTTCTACAGAGGAGCACCAATTTACGGCCAATACAATTGTCGGTAGTGTCGGCAGATCGAAACCGTCTGTCTTCGTAACGCATGCGACTCTTCCAGGAAATGGTCGGTGAGACGTTTTGCGCCGACCCAGGACTCCTCGAGAGACTGTTGACCGATTTGTTAAGAAAAGTCTGAAGCTTACTTGTCCATTCGGCAATCAATCCACCGAGAGTTCCTTCTTCCTTAAGAAAGTAAAGTCGACACTACTCTGTGAAGCAATTCTCGTGAGGTTGTTTTGAAGTTGGAGTATCTGTTGGCCTTTTAGTCTTGTGGTTTACATGTGAATTTGTGAGACTTCGTGAAAGCTCGTTGGTGATGACAGTGTGGAACCTTTTTCCGTGCAAGCAGTTTCGGTTTTCCGCTTCTAAGGAGCAGATCGGCTTCTTACGTTTCTTGAATTTCGGGACTCGGTCTAGTTTCATAAACAAAGTCGTTGCGTTTCGTTTCTAGATGAAGCTCAAACTGGGAAGTCGAATTTCTCGGAGCAGTTCTCAACGTGGTTGTTTTCAGCGGATGGACGATCCTTCTTTCCTTCTGAAGGAGCTCACAGCCATGTTTAGTGCTATCGATGCGGATGGGAATGGGATGATATCCAGATCTGAGATTGGAGCTGTCCTTCGTTCCCTGGGAACTGACCCAAAAGACTTCAAGGTTGATGAAGTGAACGAGAGGATAGGCGGAAGTAATGGTTGCATCACCCTTCAACAATTCATCAGCTTCAATGAGGAAAGCACCTACAGCACGTCGAGCTCGTCGGTAAGTGACGCGGACGAAAGCTGTGATCCTGACTTGGAAGTGTTGAAATCTGCTTTCGATGTTTCTGACGTCGACAAGGTCGGCTTCATTTCCGCCAAAGAATTGCAAAGAGTTACGCAAACTCTAGGGGGAAAGCATGCCTCACTGGACGAATGCCGACATATGATTAGTTGCGTGGACAAAGACGGCAACCAGATGGTAGATTTCAGTGAGTTCCGATGCTTTATGTCAGGCGCTTCGGCGCTGCCTTTAAAATCAAAGCGAAGGAAATTCGCTGGATTTTAGGGTTTATTGATGCCTTAGCTTATGTCTCAAACTGCCCAGGTTCTATCCTCTTTGTAAGGTTTTCCCTGGAAGAATTGTAAAGCATGTATACGAAATAGGTCAAATCTAGATATGAAGAGCAAGGGGAGGGCCGTCATTGAGTTGGAGCACGTCACATTTGGTGAAGATTCCTGAAGATTCACATCACTTCTCTTTCAATCGGCGATACTGCAAGGTAGTATCGATACGACTGTACATTCCAAAATGCCGAAGTAACTTCTTCAAGGCAATGTAGAAATATGATTCAAAGACTCGTGCAATGTACACATAGGTAGATTAGTATCAATGTAGCAAAATCAGGCGGTCACCAGGGATAATTATTGCTCCTGGAATTTGGTATCGCTTCCTCTCATATCTTTCACTCACAGCCACATCACCACCTTGTCTCATCTCACTGACAATGAATTTCAAACTCAGGGGTCTCGTCTTGCACTGTGCAAACGTACAGTACTGTTGCTGAAAATCCTTCTGAAGCACCCATTGCGGGTCCAGATCTCAACATCATACGGACTGACAGCAGTTAAACTAATCTACTACCAAACAGCTAAATCAACATTGGTCAACTGTCTACACATCGTCTTATCTGAATATATGGGGTACACATAAGTAAAAGCAGGCGGTTCCGGGCTCGGGAAAGTCCCTTCAATATGTCTAAGTTTTGTTTCAAAAGTCCTTCAAAAGAGACTCCCCACATGAACGGAGGCAACAGAAACAACGCGTCAGTGACAGTTACTTCGATAAAAATCACGTTGCAAAGCGTCGAGCAAAAAAGTGTTCTTGAACAAGATGCCCGCAACCCCAGTTTTACACAGGTTCTTCAGGTAACCGAAAGCATCGAGGAATCTGTGGAGGAACTGACTTGTCAGAGATTAGTATATCCCTTCAATAAAGCACCTGCCGCTACAGCATTCAGGACGTTCCAGTCGCCACACTCTATAATAGAGAAGGAAATGAACTAGTTGCCAATTTACAGCTCCATCATGTTGATTGCTTGTACCCAGGCTGCCGGGGTTTCCTGATTTTAATCAAGTTAAGAAGAAACTGTAACTAACCTGATTATAGAGGTCAAATTTCGACTTACCCTCCAAATGTAAGGTTCGAGGGGCCTCGTATTCTTCCTAATACAGCTATCACCCCACAAACGATCTATTAGCAACCGCACAAGCGCAGACTTGGTCTAGTCGTTGCCAGGTAATCCGTAGGAACAGTCCCCACGTCACTCGAAGTATGAAATTGAACTTAAACTTGTGCCAACGTCTTACTAAATTTAATTTCGACGAGATGGTATGAGAGTGTGTGCTCCTTGAACGCTGCTCGTGTTCCTCGACTCACTGTCTACGCCAAACTGCATCCGGAATCGCCTCTCTGCAGCTTAAGAGCAACTCTTGAATAACTCAAATGTGATAATTCTCTTATTCAGATGTCTGCCGCTTCGGAAAACGCTTCTCAATGTCGTGAATAACAATCTGAGCCCATTTGCCATCGTTGTGGGATTGAAGTAAGTTGCTGTTGGTGGCTACAGACGCACTAGTGACTCGAAAATAAAACCAACTAGTTTCTTGACCATTTTTCTAAGACATGGTAATTATACAAGTTCGCGAGTGGAGCACCACAAGGCAGTTTGATCTTAAAATTCATCTCGTGCGTTTAATGAACACCCCAAAACCAGAGGCATGGAGTCTTTTATTGATTACAATTATCATTGAGCGAGATGACCCGTCATTAAAACTTCAAACTCTTTAAAATTGACCAGCCCGTCGCCATCTATGTCCACGCAGCTGATCATATAAAGACAATCATCATGAGAAATTTTGTCGTCGCCCAGACTTGACAACACCCTCTGAAGCTCACCAGCTGAAATGAAACCATCTTTGTCAGAATCGAACACGTTGAACGCCGACTGAAGAGCCTCTGTCAAGGATGAAGAAGTGGGGAGTTCTCCTCCCAAATCCACACCTAATGTGATTTTCCCGATATGAACGGAATCGGAGTTCAGATTGATGAACTCCTGAAGGTCGACTTCACCATCACCATCAGTGTCCGCATCCCTTATCATCTGCTCCAAATCTGCATCGCTCATTTCATCTCCAATAGAACGAAGTACTGTGCCCAACTCGGCTTTCGAAATCTTCCCATCACCATTCAGATCGAACAACTTGAATGCCTCCTCTAAATCTTTCACAAGCTGAGGCGGCAGACTGCTCTCACTAGTCTGTGGTCTCCTCCCACTACCAATCTCCTCAATTTCAGGCCGATTCGCTTTCGACAAAGCCATTCTACCCATCAAATTTCACATATAACAAAACTCCGTAAACTGAAAAATTTGTACTCCTTCCTAAACAATACAAATCATCTCAATCAAATCACCACCAAAGCTGAGAAGTCGAAATCCTTATACCCCTCCCACTTCAACTCCTGAAGACACTAAACAAACTGCACGTCGTTTTGAAAAGTAAAGCAAGACGGCTCCGACCAACAATAAAAATAAAATAAAAACAAAAAGGGCTTGAAGCAAGCTTGTCGAAGTCACTTGTGGCGTGCTGTGACTTCTCCTCCAATTTTCCCAACCGTTTTTCTGAAGTTTCTGTGCATCTTTCCTAAAGTTCCCGAAACCCGATTACATGAAACCGAAGCAGAAGGGAAGTTACAGAGCTTCTCTGGAGTAGCGTGAGAGGGCAGCGCGCAGCGACAGAGAGGCTGGAAAGCGGGGGGAGTCAGGACAGCAGTTATGATTCTGTCAATGTCAAGCAAATGGGGACCCACCTACTGGATTGCAAGCAAACACAGTACCCGTGCTTCATGTGCTCCTTTCGGCAAGCAACAGCATCGATGGCGTGGATCATTCATCTCCATCTAGATCTACACCTCCACCATCCCGGCGAAGTCCTACGAAACTTTCCGTGTCCCAAGTCACCGAACAATTGCTTCACAACCTTCGCTTGACATTTTCTATGTTAATATGTGCAGTTTCTCGTGGCACTTCAGTGCGTGTGAGATCGGGTCCATCTCCTGTCGGTCGGTCTTCATGAGACTTATGATATACTACAAGTAAACAAATAAACACAGCCATACGAAACTAAACATATCAACAAATTGTCGAACTCTATAACTCGAACTGATTAGGCTTAAGTGTCGCTCAGTATGTCGATAGCCGGTCGGAGTTTTATGCTTCTCGGAAGCGTCGAAACCTGGTTGAATCTCTACTTCTAACCCGAGGAGGCAATATGAGCTGAAGTGTTTCTTTACAAATTCTATTGATTGATTCTCCATTGTGTTAAAAAATAAATAAATAAATAAACGAAAATGATTATGATGTTTGTGAATTGTTGATAGACGTGGAATCTGTACAAAAAGAGGGAAAGGTTTTGTATTACTTGTGGTCGTTGAAATGAGTTTGAGAGAGGAATTTTATAAGAATCAAGATGGATTTTATGAACAACAGAGTGAAATTAGACCGTTTAGAACAATTGAGAAGTAATTTGTATCACTCTAATTTCACAAACATGCTTGCAAAAAGTATTTTTGATTGCATGAAAGCTTTGATGAAGGTTGTGTAAATTGTTTAAGATGTATTCAGTAGGAAAAGTTGTCTATGTTATACACTGTAAAGTAATAAATCTTTAAAGTCATTATATAAAATAGGTGTTATTTGTTATTCTTCATAGATGAACAATCAAATAGTGTCACATAAATTGCAAATGTTACATTTTTTGAGACTTCTTAAATAATGTTTTCAACTAAAAACATCAAAAAGTAGACTTTTTTCTTTTCTTTTTTCCTATTTTATATTTAAAAAATCCTTATATTAACCAATATATCCTTATATTTATCTAATACTTTATAAATTTCTTTATAAAATCAATAAGTATAATCTATTTATGTTTGTCATTGATGTATACCATAAAGATATTATGTAAATGAGATTAAAAATATTTACAAATAGAAATTTGTGATTTTTACTTTTTATAGATGATGTATTAGTCATTTAATGTATAGAAAATAAAAAAATAAAATTTAAAAATGCATTAAAGAGAAGAAAAAAATTATAATTTTATTCCTATACATGATTAAAAAAATAAAATATAATTTTTAGATTTTTTAATTCTATTACCAAATAACACATGCTAAAAATACATTGATTTAAAATAAAATTATAATAAAGAGAATATCCAAACTACATAAATATCAGTGGTAATCCAGTCAATGTTAATTTTAATAGATAATAACTAAAAAAAAACAAACTGGTAAATTTTAACAATTAGATGGTAATAAATGATCAATATTGATTTCAATGAAAATAATTAATTACCATGTACATATAATTTTTAGAAGACAATATTAGTAATTATAGCTCCTTCAAATCATACTCATAAAATTTTATAAGAGTAGAAAATTTAATGTAATATTATAATGCAATATAAAATACTATTTATGATAAAAAAATCACTATAGTATTTTCTGTAAATGTCATAAAAATATATCACATTATTTAATATCAAACCTTACCAAAAAAAATAACTACAAGACTTTATATTATTCAAGTATCTCAATATCGTATTTCTCACATTACTTTATTTGTTCCATTATTTAATAAATGGTTGAAACAGTAAAAACAAAGTAAAAAGTGTTGGTGTTAATTTTCTAAATCTCTCACTTGCATCCAAATTCCTAATATAAATCTGATATTTTCCAACTATCATTACACTCAATTTAATCTTCAACTACATTGCAATAAAAAAAACAAATCCAAAAAAAAGTAATATGTAACAATACATGGGCAAAAAATTTGACACCTAGCACCAATAAGCCATTACCCCAATTCCTCTGAGAATAATGGCTACCTTACCTCCAAAAGGATAAGCAATACACCTTTCTAATGAATTTTGTCCAAAGAATAATTTGAATAATTTCTTTTCACAATCCTCTGGTTATGGCACCTCGTTCAGAAATCAAGGAGGCATATGTTCTAATTACATTAACCCTCTAAAGAAGGGAGAATCCAGTAATCTCAGTCATATAGATTAATGTAATGAATAACGAAGTGCGAAAAAGTGGGAACAGTGGATTCAGTCACACTTGCTGCATTGTTGGCATGTCCTTTGGAGCTTTCGCGAGATGATATAGGTAGATTGATTCTGAGAGAATCGAAACCGCCAGGGACTATCCACTGTCCATCCATTTGATAAAACGGCACATCAAACTATGCAAAACTTGTTAGGAGAGTGGTGCCGCACATCTCATGTTGCCACTGAAAGTCGAAGTTTGCAATCTCCAACTGTTAGAGAAACGGTCACATGCGCGTAAGCCCTCGCTGTCAATTTCAAACATTACTGCACAGTACCGAGCATTCACATTGCTAAGTTATGCACTGTAAATTCCGAAGAAGAAAGTCACAAGACGTTCTAGAATAATCAGATAATTCATTACTATTTTTTGCTATTTTCGCGGAGGAGTTTCGAAAGTTGTGGTTTAAAGAATGAAGCACCGAGATTTAAAGCTATTCCAAACTGCTGCACATCGATGTAGTGGTGCATGTCTGTTAAATGGTAATCGCAAACCAAGATACCACATATGGTATTGGAGATTCAAACATATAATTAGATGTGCAGCCTCGGGGCTGTGGCGTTGCTGGCTTGTTCTGCTTTAGCGTATGCTTGTGCATCCTCTCTCCAAAGCGCCAATCATAAAAACAATCAGGCCAATTTACAACCCTTAAAACATGCGGGTAAGTACCAAATTCGTAGCATACGAGTAATAAAAAAATAATACTTGTACTGAGAAACATTGTTAGCAAAATGTACTTGAAGGGGGAAAATAATTTGCAACCATACTGCTCAGTTTCAAGGTAGAGATTTCACACTTCTGAAAAGCTACACTGCTTTAGACGAACGTCTCATGGCAACCGTTACAAAATTCGTCTGAAACTGGAAGATGAACGCCCAACTTAATGGAAATAAGCTCAAAGCACTATAGAACCAATCCCTAGTAACAAAACTCTGTAACCCTGTACATAATTCTCGCGATGCCTACCTGCGTTCACTACAAAAATAAGGCAACAAGTCCAACCAATTAACTGGTATCACGGACAAGGACGAAGAAAATCTGGCCTGCTTTTACAGCCATCCTTAATTGATGAGAAACCTCTAGGAGATTTCTGTCATTCGCCAGATGATTTCTTTCACCAGCGACTAAGAGTTTTTCACGCTGCCAGCGCTTACCAACCCTTACCTTCAAAGGTTATACAAAGGCCTGTCTGTCCAAGCTCCAGCGACGTGACCACTTTCGCAGACGTAGGCGCGAATGACAGGCTCTCCATCTTCGTGATATTCGAATGAGCGACGGAGGCAAAAACTAGTCACCATATCATAAGTATCTTCGGAGCAGAAAGCACATCGTATTTCCGTCCGCTTGGCCTTCAAATCCTTCAAGTTCCGATGTACGTGAGAGTGTTTAAAGTTCTTAAAAATCCCTCGAAAAAGCTTATACACGCGCCTCTCACCTTGGTGCATGCAACCTGGCCAATCGCATAAGTAGAGGCTGTCCGACCTGAATCTGGAAATTCCATAGCATGCTACTGTCATTATACGCTGTCAAATCACACCTAATGAAGCCAACAAACTCCACCACTTCGTGATGGAAGATCCTAAACAGGACACATCCGATAAGAACTCATTAAAATTTCTGACAGTGCTTGGATCAATAACCTGCTAGCGAGGAGTTTGTTTCCTTGTTCCCTAGTTAAAGTCCAGTTGCCCTTTGCAAGGTGGAGTTCTTCCTCGTGATTGATGCAACGCTCCGCCTCATTATTCCACCCGCCACTCGAATTTCGTGGGGACCGGGATCGGGACCGGGATCGGGACCGGGAGACTCCATGCTCTTCCTCCCCATCTAGCCTTCTGTAACTCCCATAAAACTTTAGCTCTTTCATAACCTTACCATGATAGTGTGAATCAACTTTCTTCATTTGCTTTATAGGACCGTCACCATTCAACACTTCCTTATTCTTCATCTTCCCAGACGTACACCTTCCAGCATCAACCTCACCAAATGCCTCGTTCGCACAAGCAGTACCTTTACCCCTTTGTTCACTTGTCCCATACTCAGAATGCTCGCCTTTGTGTTCTACCACTGACCCCGCTACATCATTTTCGTCACTATTCTCCATTCCGCACGATCTTCTCTCGATATCCATGTGATCGTTGCCAATTACCTCCTGTTTCTCTGTTACATTTGAAGTATTTACAGTGCCTTTCTCGACTTCCAGTTCTGCTTGTACCCCCAGTTTTGGTAAATCCTTTCTGAGCACTAATTCAAAGTCGTCAGAGCGACCAATTTCTCTCTCTAATCCGTAGTCCCAGCAATTTAACAGCACCCCAGCGTGACGAAGTCCTGGACAGCACACAAGGAGCTTCTGAAGAACTTCCCACCCACCTGGAGGCTCTACTAATACACCTTGCCGACTGCTCGATTGCATCAGCTCGGAAACCATGCTAGGTACTACACGCATGCACTGCCGCTTGTAGCATGAGGTTTTTATCACATTATGGAACCGTCGGCCCACACATGCAAGACGTGCGAAATCTCTAGGATCATCCTCAAGCCGTCCAAAGATGTTGACAATAATGTCATCAACGATCCGGTTGAAGAAAGGTAGAGAGTTCGGATTTACAGGCCGTGGTTCCTTAAACACCGGTTGTACGGAAGTTACTGCAGAAGTAGCCATCGAACTCTGAAACCCTGTATCTGCACACAGGCCACTTCAATGATGTGAGTCCACGTTCATGGAAAAAAGTAACAAAATTGAAGTAAAATAAATTAACATAAAAACATAGTAGAATATGAAAAGCAAACGGGCAGATTCAATTATTACGCAATCTATAACTTGATTGGAAGAAAATGGCAGAGCCAAAGAGCTCTTCATCGAAATGAGAAGGATATGTAACGAAAGAAGAATAAATCCAAAAGCGAAAGAAAAAGTTCTTTACAAACTGAAAAGAAAAGCCAGCTTGAAACTTCAGCAGATACAGCTACAAATGAGTAGTAAACTATAAGACATTATGCGAAGGGCGTTAACCTTTCGGACGATCGTGATCGGTAATTGACTGAGTAATTGTGGATTGTCAATTCGCAGCGAAAACTCTGCAAATCCACTAAAATTGGTTGTCCCAGATCATTATCAGCTAATGGTCACATATATTCTCAGATGATGTGCATATAAAATTTCAAGTATTATACGCAAAAATATTCAAAATAATTGCATACCTCGTCAAGCAGAAGAGATAATGCCTCCGTGAATAACTCCTGCTAAACTCCTGCATGTAGAAACAGAATATTATTAATTTTGATATAAAAGAAAGCCCGCAGACCTAGAAATACATGTTCATTTCAACATTTTTAGACGCACTGTTCCATCCACTGGAAGCATGTGCTTAGAGCTTGTACAACTGAGTCGTATTAAATGTATCAGATTCTTCCGAAAAAAAAAAAGAAATCATCATCATCATCATCATTGGCAAAACTATGCAGATTTAGTATCAAAGATGAAAGGAATTCAAGATATTACGGAGTTCTATTGCTACGTGAGGATAAAAGTATCTAGTTTATGTACTTGAGAGAGATCTGGAGGTATAAACACATGGAATCGGTAGTGAGGTAAACAGAAGAATCACCGCTATGAGTGACATCTATTCTTGAGAGTTTACGGTTGATAGATTGTGCATCTTTGGTCCAAGAAAGCTAAACTGATATCCTACTCTTATGGACATTGACCTAGATTTCAAGGTCTTGCATCCTTTTCTGCATCTATTGGTGTATATCAACTAACTGAGGGACAGGGTGCTAATAGACATGACACTAAAGATGTCGTCATGTGACATTAATTATTAGCACTAGTCCCTGGATCTATGAAAATGAGCACATACTCTCACAGAATGATGGAAGACTGTGGGAAATCGACCAAACGGGAAAGGAGACAAGTCATTCACCATCGTAACTATCAGAATCCACGAACACTCTGTAAATTTCTCCTGGAACCAACCTGCAACGTTCTTAACACTCAGGAAACTATCATCTCAAAAACATCCACAACAGCAATGCAATTTCCCTCACCAAACTCAAACTGAAATCGTCTGACGACTTACCTACGAACCCGTAGCCAACGCCACTCCCAGAAGCACTCTATCACCAGGCCATGCGCGCGCGCCATCAACAGCCTTCAACTCAGGGCGCGCAGGACGAATCCTCCACCAGATTCTGGCAATTCAGAACATATTCCTCTCATGCTCCACACCACAAGACTCGACACGCAAAGAAACACACTCACTCAAATTCACACTCGCTCACTCACTAGCTCATCAATGCTTCCTCTTCGCGAAGCTAGTTTTCAAAGCCTTCCACGCAGAGTCAGCACGAGACATTCTGCCAAATTTTCGGCGACGTCTTTCATGATCGTGGCCACTTCAGCAACCAACTTGTCCGCTCGCTCCACATGTTCTCCACACCACACTGTGCCCACACCCTCTTCCACCGCGCACTCAACAAAACTCGATCCCAAACGAAACAAACAAAAAAACAAAAACACTCCACCGAATTAAATCCAAAATAATAAAAAAATAATGGAAAAGCGACTTGTTCCCTGACGGAACTCGAAATCCAAAACCAGTCGTCGTCATCGTCGTCTACATAGTTTCTTCTTCTGGCCTGCACCGCCCCTCCATACCCGCCGTTACCCGCTGAGGAAGATGACATGGCTGTCAGCTTGGTTCTTTCTGACACTGACACTCCGAGTCCTGAGCGCAAAGGAGGAGGCGGATAAGCTCTCTGTCTCGATCTCTCTATCTTTCTGAGATCCAGCAATCCAGTTGCATTAAAGCACTAAAGTTAGGGGGCGGCCAAGTGTGTGTTCACTTTATTCACAGGGTCCTGGCTATATTATGGATGGCTAGATAGATAGATAGATAGATAGATATATAGATCTCTGGCACGCTTCTTCGAAAGCCTGCTAAATATGCGTTCCCACTCACACCGCCCTTGCCAGATATATATATATATATATATATAATGCTCCGACTCTCATTCATCCACCCATCCATCATTCATCCGATACTCTCATCCAAACATCTCATTCTCGTTCTCTCATACATCGACCCATTCATCCATACACTCATACATCCATCCATACATCCATTCCATGTACTCGCCCATCCATCCATTCATCCTTATACTCATCCATCTACCCATTCATGTATACACTCATCCATACATCTATACATCCATCCATCCCACCCCGAAAGTGTTCCTTTCGAACATAAGATTCAGCTATACAAAGACTGATATAAAAAGAAATCTATAGATATATATATAGATATATATATATCTAAACATATATATAGATATATATATACATATCAATTATACATATATATATACATATATATATACATATCAATTATACATATATATATATATATATATATCTATATATGTATAATTGATATTTTTTTTGTTTCATTCATGATAAAATTCACTTCAGTTGTTATTCTATACATGTAAATATTTATAATTCTAGAAATTATAATTTTTTATTAGTATATGCTTTTTAAACGTACTTTCGAATATATTAAATTCATAAAAGTGACTGAAATATAGTTTTTGACGAACTATCAAAGTTTGATCTCTGTTTTTTTGGCGTGTATATTATTTGACTGGTTAACTTGGGATGTACTTGTGAAGTACCTACATCTACCTAAATTCATCAAACATTTTGAAACATGAATTGTGTTCACCTGCAATTACCACATCCGTCTTACTTCCAGAGGATTTACATATTCACATATCAGAGAATGTTATATTGAGCAATGTATACATACTCATGTATTATTTTAAAAAATGTAAAGCTAAGAATACGTGTTGAATTTATCTTTTCATTCTATATGCCTGAATTGGATTTAACATACATGGGACCAAAAGAATTGTCTCTTTAAAACAAAATAAAATAAAACGCAACAGTTGCAATAAAAATGCAAATAAGTTTGAAAAAGATTCATAACAAAACATAGGCCAGAGTCACAGAACATAACAAAACCTAGGTCAGAGTCACAGGATCTACAAACTCTGCCGTGGCTCTAAACAAAAAATTGTACACCCATCCTCCTCTTCATCCACTACACTCCTTTTTCTATGCACCCTTCAATCACTTAAAAATATTCTATGTTTCGTGAACTGTAACCTAACTGTAACCTCAACGCAGCAGAGTGCTAAGATGGAAATAGTCACGTCCACCGTCAAAGGTATAGAGAAGTATGACTCTGATAGATACAATCATCGACGACCACCACCTTCACGTTCAAAATCCACTCGGTTCCTAGAGCCACCAGCATAGCTATCCTTAGTACCAGATCCTGCACTTGCACGCATGGTTCCCCCTTCTCCCACCCTGTCCATAGCTTTCTTTCCTTTCTTAACCTCTGTAAGAAACATGTCAAGCCCAAATGGATCTTCTCCAACTTCATCTTTCTCAAATTCTACAGGACGATCCTGGGGTCTAGATCGCTCAGTTGCACCAGCAAAGCCCTTGCCAGGTCTAAATCTATCCGTGCTAAGAACCTTGTCCAACTGCTCATTGGCATCACCTCCATAAACTTCGGCATCAGTATCTTTCCGAGGACGATAGAGCCCACTAAGCCCAGATTGGGAGGTGAACAATCCTTTGTCGTACACATTGTAGGTATCATCAGCTGCAAACCCTGATTCCATGCCTTTCTCCTGGTTGAACAGACGCTGGTCGTAAGTGAGTTCTCCACCACCGGCACCTGTGTTGGCCATTCCCAAAGCCATCTTCTCACTAATGTCTCTGTCCCTGTCTCTTGTAATCTTGCTCTTCTTACCAACAGGCCCTTCTTTGGCTTCCAGTCTTCTTTCTCTCTCTCTTTCCCTGCGACGATCCCCACGAAGCGCTTCACGTTCCAACCGCTCTTGTCTCTCTTCTTTAGTCTCCTTTACCATTTCTTCCCTGCTTACACCTGCATCATCAGCCCTCCTTTCGTATGCTGCTGCACCTCCTCTATCTGCTACAGCAGTAGCGTTAGCACCAGTAGCCGCAGGAGGTGCACCAACTCCAGCCCTTTCCATCCTAGCCCTCTGCGCCAAAATACGAAGCTCATTCTCCTTCTTCTCTTTTTCTTTCATCATAATCTCTCGTTGAATTTTGGATCGTGCTTCCACAGCCTCTCGAGCCTTCTGCTCTGCAACATACAACGCCTCTGAAAGCTTGGCAAAGTTGTCATTAATTTGCACCTCCTGAAGTCCTCTTCCATCGGCAGCCAGCCGTTTGTCTAAAGGAATGGTGTAACCCTTAGGGTTCTTCCAATTTGATATGCAGGGAGGAATTTTCCAATCTTGTTGATCCTTGACAGTGACTGGTCGAGGGGGTGAATGCATGACAGGAACAGGAGGCGAACCAGATGCCTTTGGAACTCTCTTGTGCTTAAACTTCGGGGGTTCCAGAGGGTCCTTGGGCATCTCCACCATTCGGATCACGCGCTGATTGGCACCGGAATTGTACGCCGCAGATTGCTGAGAGGGAGTGTACTTTATAAACGAAGGGGCTGAAGACTGAGATGGCACACTCTTTGGCTGCGCAGCACTCAATCTTCCTTCAATGATCTTCTCTAAGGCTGCCTTCGTCCTCTCTGTGGTTGCCTCAGCTTCCTCTTCTGAAGGCTTCTCTGTGTCCACCTCGGTGGGTACCTTTGGTACAAGGTCGCGATGCTGCGAAAACACAGTCTTCCTTGCATTTTCGGCCTGCTTGACGACGGCATCGAAGGCAATACTCCCCTCAGCATCAACACTAACGGGAATGATCTTACTATCAGCTTTCTCAGTTTCCTTACCCATATCCAACGGATACTGCGCCACATGAATCTCAGGAAACGCTCCTCCATCTCCAAAATGTTCTTTCCTTCGCGGCATGAAACCCCCTCTCCGGCCATACGGCGGTGGTGTGAAATGCGCCACGGCCTGCGGCTTCTCCACTTCCAAATGCGTCTTAAACCACGGATCGGACTCTGCATCGTAAGAGGGCGCCGGTGCGTTCTTGGGCGCCGGCAACCGATTCAGCAACATCCCAGACGCCATGTCTGCGAAATCCAAATAACGCAACTCCGACAAACGCGACGCTTAGTATTATAAAAAAGTCGCTCACACAACCATCCAAGCAACGCAGACACAAACCCTAACTCCGTCAATAACTCCAAGAGTAACCTTCCTAGACAAGCACCGGCCCCATACCCCGTGACCTCCCTCCGTCCAACCTCTCAACGCTGCACCGACCAAGACTCTAAAAAAACTAGGGTTACGTCCAGAAGACAAAGCAACGATATGGATAGGCTTCCACGGGACTTCTCCAACGGGGCAACAAAAAAGTGAATGTTGAAGAGAAACTCAAAAGTTAAAGAGAAGCGTCCAGGAGAGAGAGATCATTATAATTGGAAACTTTAAAGTTGGGATGGGTGGATGTTGAGTGGGGTTGTGGGTTCATGTGCTTACAAATTTGAAACATGAATGCATTTGTTTTACATGCTAGTGTGTTAGTTATTATGATTATAATTCTTATCATTATTACGAAAAAAAAAAAAAAAAAACGTGTACTATTTAAGAACTTTATTTCATGCTGTGAACCAACAACTTACTCATAGGTCAGATTTTGTTTCAAAAATAAAGATATGTAAAAGTTTAAAATAAAATAAAGTACAGCAGAGAACAATGAAACCTGTTCACAACCATATATATAACCCAAGAGCTAGACATCTATTCATGCATCTATTTGATCATTCATTTTTCTTAATATCCACCCTCGTTTCGCACCCTTGTATTGTTATCCTCATCACGTTCTATGCACAAAAAAATAGAACTACAGGGTTTCATTTGTAGCATTTTGTAAATCGGTGTGTGTCTCTGTGTGTTCATCCAACCAAACATTCATTCATATGTCAATCCAAATTGTTTTTCTTTTTATTACACCTCAATAAACTATCCAATTGTTACTCTTGCAGGAATACCAGGGGCTCCAATACTTATATATATATATATGTATATACATCCATACAAAAATATATGTGAGAATTGTATACCAATTAACAAAACAAACATGATAATAAAAAAAAATCCAATAAAAACGTGATTGAAAAAATAAAATAATTGTAGGTTCTAGCTCTACTACATTTTAAAAGCTTTGGATCCTTGCATTCATAAATAAATTATTAACTTATTTACTTAGAAAAAAATTTAAAAAATATATATAAATCTTTCCTATCGAAATTTTTTCTTATTGAATGCGGAAACAATTTTACTTGTTGAAACATCGAAATCAAAACACATTGAGCGTTTTCATGTGTTTCATTGATGCTTAAATCCAATAAAAATAATTATCCAAACTCCAAATGTATAAAATCCAACTAGAAATCACGTACACATGAAAATCTCATTCAGCTCTTAACCTAAAATGACGTGGCGCAATCCACGTCAGTCTTTCGTTTTTATGACCAATCAGGGTTCTCAACCACGTAAAGCGTGCCACGTCAGATTGAAGGACCATCCACGTAGACCACGTCGGATTCCGAAGCTCTTCGGTGATTTCGGGTTCTGCTTCTCCTTTTGTTGTTTTTGTTGTTGTTGTTTGTGTTGTTATTGTGTTACATTCTGGATCGTTCGGAGCCAGGATCATACGGTGAGGAAGGATCAGACTCGCTGCGAGATTGCGAAGAAGAATTGACTGCCTTGATTTTTCTGTTTGTTAGTGTGTCCTCGAAGATTTCTTCCATACTCGGCCCCGCGTCCAGATTTGTTTTTGACGTGGTTTCGATCACTTTGGTATTGCTACGGTTTAGGTTTTGAGAGATCGGGGCTGTGTGGCGAGCAGAGCTGCGATTATGCCGTCACGCTGATGTAGTGAGCAGTAAACTGAGCTGAATCAATCACTGAGATTCCTTGACTTGTGTTGGATTTAATGGCTTAGGTCGCGAGGACGTGGTTAGGGTTCGAGTCTTACCTTTTCTGCTGAGGATTGGAGTGGTTTTTGATCGTCAGCATGGATCTAGGTTCAGCGGCTTCGGCACACATGGATCAGATGGCGTCCATTGTGGAAGGCGTAAGCGAGTCGTTACGAAAACAATGGGGCGAGTTCAAACAACAAGGAGGGTTTTGGGATCCTATTCTACGCTTCGTGCATGCGGTGGACTGGACAGAGCCTTGGCTGGTTGGCTTGATGGTGTTCCATTTGATACTTGTTGCTGTGGTGGTTGCAACTAGGAAGCGTAGTAACGTACAAGCAGTGTTGTTTATGGCAATGCTCTTGTCCGTGTTCTTCGCCGAACGGCTGAACACGCTCCTGCGCCGGCACTGGAAGAGTTTTGCGGGGCAGCCTTATTTTGACTCTCATGGCGTCTTTATGTCGACTGTGTGGTCTGGGCCGATGCTGCTAATTTCTACTTTGATACTCGTGAACAGCATGGTGACGCTGACGCGGATGTTGATAAAATGGAAGCGAGCTGAGCTTAAGCACAAAGCCCGCGTTGCACGCGAGAAGAAAGAATGATTGATTGTACTTGAGATTACGGTTTGTCTTTGTGCAATACTTTTACAGAGTGCTTAACCCTAGAGAACCAGAAGGGAATGATGATCCCCTTCTGCAAGACGAATTGTTTTTAGACGGCTTCACATTTTGAGACGTTACAGTAAAAATTCATTAGCCTCTTCGTGTCCGGTTAGGATTTTCAGACAGATCTTAGATTTCAAGAAGTGATGCATGTATTTGATAGCTCTTCAATTCGAGATATATAACGGCCAATTTGTCTTCAGGAATCATTACCCCTCTGTCTTTCTGTGTAATCTTTCTGTAGTGCATTGTTCGGTCTGTCTATCTGATGATATTTTTGGTGATACTAAGAGCTCAGGTTCAACTTATTTATTTTGATGCATGGATGAGTGGTTTCCATTTTCTTAGCATCTGGCACAGTCAACAAGCAGTGGCTCTGCACAGTACCATTACTCCCCTTGGCACAGTTTATGTTGCCAGTAGTTTCAGAGCATTGGCCGATGTAGGACTATATGTCGGATAGTTATCTCTGTTTCATATTCTCTACAAGAGTTCGTTTGTAAATCTCCAAGATACAAGTGTACGTAATGTTGAAAGTGTTGGTTGATTTGATTCAAATGAAGTTTTCAAATGAGAACACCTTAAGCAGAATACAAGGCTTTCCTTTAGCATTGTGAGTCTCATTTGTAGTTTGATTTTTGCATCTGAAATATGGATGCCCGTCACACTTGAAGGGGGACTTTAAAGAGCCTGCATTGTCATTTATGACAGGGAGATGTCACGTGGAGAGTGAAAAACCGGCTTCAAATATTATGTGAAAATACGTCTGTATTCTTTTATATCTTCGTTTTTTCTCAAATCGATGAAGAGTTTTGCGTGCCGTTGGACTTCACTTTGGTACGCAGGAGGGTTGTTTTTCTGGCTATGTTCTTTTGAGGATCACACTATGACGAGTATATTCCACTTATGAATCCAGACGTATGGAGAAGTTTCAAGATGGCTGCTGCAGAAGAGAACACAACTATGAGATTGATCATTTTAAAAACAAGCTGTTAAAGCAAAAGCTTACGGCTCCGAAGATCAGATTTTTATTTTGCAGGTGAGAATTTCCAATACTCTTGCTGAATGTACATTCCAAGGAATGAAACCATTTTCTGAGAATAATAGTGTAAAAGAGTAGACTCGGGTCCTACAATTTCTCATGAAATGTTTGCTATTATTTTTCTATTATGCTTTCAAATGTTTTTTCATGTAATATTCTCTCACACAGACACTCACAGACGTGTGTACATATATACTAGAAAGGAGACCAATTTAGCTTGAGTTCTAAAAGAGTTAAATTAGGCAGTAGAAATCTTTATCATAAATAGACGAAAATATCTCAATTTCATCACAGATGTAAAAAAATTGATGTGCGATTGACTAATTTTTTTGAAATATTCTTGTTTACGATTGTTGCCAAAAATTCCGAACAAATTTAAAAAATAAAATATTGGATCGCTTTGCAAATATTTCAAAAATTCTTGAATAGAAGTATTTCAAGAAATTCAACCTATCAAATGTCAGTTGGAATTCAGTCAATTCGGGAATTGATTGAAGCAAATAGTCACTCTTTTATCAATTGAAACTCGACCATTGAGGGAATTTCAATGACATACGTCAAATTTTTACACCAAGTAGGTATATGTGTGTATGGTGGATCAATTGTACCTAAGTCCCTTAGAGGTCATGCCAAACGTTGATGTATTCCATGAGAGGGTAAAAAAGGCTGAAGCTAACATCTAAATAGAATTTATCCATACTCAGATGAAACAATCAAACAATGATAGCCAATGTAAGTAAGTAAATAAATAAATAAAGATCTAAATAAGGTTTCCGAAAATTGTACATTTGGATTCTTTAAAACATAAAAAAGAAAGAGAATTTTGATGGATTTTCAGTGCTAAAACTAATGAATCAAAAGTTATAAATAGGCAATAAATATTTAACATTTAAAAGTTCAATTAATTTAAATCCACGAAGCCCAACATGAAGCCTCCGGTCTATTTTTCTTTGAAAACAAACCTCCAAAAAGTTGTAACAGTAACATATTGTAGCGCTTTTAATCAGTGGCAAAACTGAAAGATTAATATTATCTGCGAAGCTACTGCACAATGATCCTCGGTCACCACAGTCACGTCAATCTACTTACAAATATATCACATCTTGGCCTGCTCAACTGGATAGATACTAGTTGTTGGTTACTTCTCGAAGAGTCCCTTCCAGTGCACATAACCCACTATGCTCACAAAAATAGAGAATGCAGTGAACATACTGCTGCATAAGGTTGGCGCCAACCAGTCAGGGTTATGAAATGGATCTGTGTTGTGGATATTCATGCCGAAGACTCCAACTATGCTCATGGCAGCTGCGACAGACAAGGCCGTTGCACCCAAAGTGATCTGAAACTGAAAAAGCTGGTTCCTTTGGTGGTCAAGCCGAACGTTGACGTAGTCCTCCGTATCATCAATGTACTCTCGTACCTGAAATTGACAACTGCCAACATGTCACGAATCTTGTTGACTTATGATGAACAAATAAGCAGAGAATTTTGGACCGTTGTTCGTGCATTTTTCGTGTCCGTGATTTTCTGTAGTAAAGTTCATTCTTTATCCACAAAAGATTTTCAGTGCTAAAGGTTTCTCAATGGGAATCAGATAGAATCGATGACTTGAACTCTGGACATCCAGACTGTTTGAATACAAGTTATCTGATTGCTCGGATTTTAGAAACTCACCAGCGAGAGCTTGTTAAGGCCAGCATCAACCTGCATGAAGTAGGCCTCTAGTAACATCTCCAGCTCCTCAACTTCATAGACTCTGCCCGAGCTATGTAAAGTCGAGCTAAGGCGGCTAGTATGACCGTGACTCCTCATCGAACTCAGTCGAGCTAATGTGCGTGGTGCTGTTGAGCTCATCGTGACCATGGCGTCTGAATTGATGGTTAAGAGCGGAGAATCTGGATGTTGTGCTTGTAGTAGCTTCCGAGTCAGATACAGGTCTGACATATCCTCATCATCGTCCAAGAGTTGCATAAGTTCGTCCCTGACCTGTCTTGGACAATTACAACAATGGAAATTAAGAACACTTCCCGAATTTCTTCTGGAAGAAAAATCCCAACTCAGCCAACAATGTGTTCGAAGATGTGGAGGGAGTCTGGGAGGTCCACAATGTCTAATAGTGGTCGAATGTTTTCGCACCTTTATAACAATACATTGCACAAATGTAAGTATTCATCGCAGAAATAGAGCACACACCTTCTGAACTCGAGCACTTAAATGAGTGAGCCGAGTCTTGACCATTCGGACGAGCTCAAGACTCCTCGTACTAATCCCTCTGGTTAACATGTCTAAAGCTGGACGCGCCGTCCTTTCCAAGTCATGCACGTTTGCTTCAAGATGGTTGCAAACCACATCAAGGGCAATTTCCAAAACTTGAAATTCAAAAGGAAGCTGTTCAGGTAGTTCATCCTCTGTTGTACACAACTGTTCTGTAGAGTACGTGTTTAAGACCCCTGAATCGATCAGTAACGCGTTCTGAGGAAGAAGTTTCATACTAAGCTGCTCTATAAATGGTTTAACGTCCCGGTTGGAGGGGTCGAGAATATAAACCTCTTCCGCTGTAATTATAGCTTTCACGAATTCCAAATTTACCACCATCGCGTTCTCCCTTGCTGCCACAAAAGATTAAGCATGAACATCAAGGAGCCCGCAGTTCACAAAAAACACACTAGAAATACCGAGCAATAGAGCTTCTCTGTAGCAATGCCTAAGATCCAGAATGAGAGATTTGTGAACTTAAACTATTCTGGCTCTAAACCTAACAATGACTTGTAGATCTTTCTTGATAGTAAGATGTCGAGGGTTTAAGCATCAAGAACACCTTCAACAACAAAAGAGAGTCTAGATACTTTTCATCATGCTTTTGAGGCATGCCACATTATCGGACATAATGGCAAAAAGAAACGACGAAGCTCATGAGAAAAAAGGACCAATGGCTGCTATCAGGATGCAGACTGCTGGAAGTAATCAGTATTGTGCCACCTCTATCCAAAGCACTTGCATCTGAACTCATAGACGGATGGAATTCACGTGTGAAAGCACCTGAAATAGATGAATATTTACCTAGAATATGGGAGGATTGTGAGAATATTGGTCCCATAATGCGAAGATCCCTCGCAGGCACGGTAACACGTTTTAAAAGATCGTTCTTGTCACATTCGAAAATCTCAGAATTTCCAGTTGCATCAAATCTCATCCATGTTCTGATACCCACCTTCCTACTCTTCACCATAGGATTAGGAATAATTAGGTTTCCCCCATCCGGAGACTGAACTTTTACCCGATCGTAAGTGATCTTTTGCACTGCCGGTCTATTTTGCAGTGAGTGCAGCATTTTGGCTAAAAATCACAACTGAAGCGAGGTATACAGATGTAAAACGCTACAGCCAGCCACGTTCCATCAACAAACCCGTATACAAAATCTATGTTACACCATGAGAGTCCTCACTCTCCCAGAAGTAGATAGTCCGAGTAAAAACTATCTCTTTACAAGCTTGAGCAAGACTTGCACCAAAGGTGGTAACCTAATCGCATGGTACCTTATCATGTCAACATGGCCAAAGCTCGCCCATCACCTGGTCATGGACGAACAAATTAGAATAAAACCAATCACTGTTTGAATGAAACGACAGAAACATGATATGGACCACTCCGACGTCACCTCCACATATCTAGAGCCAATTAGTAAGCATGCTTGCCTAAAGCATATCAAATTTTCATATTTTAAGAAAGAGTAGAAATGGGAACACTGCTGGTCAGCGACAGCACGTGATTCAGCAAGAATTACCCAAGGCAGTATCTAAGCACATGATGAAGACTACACTAAATCCCATGTCCAGATGATTACTCAAATATGATTAATTCGTCACATCCGTCATGCTGATACATCTCAATGCCCGGAACTAGCTCCTTACAACCAAGCAGTACAACGACCGTAGCAGTTTAAGTCTACAGAATGCCAATGGTCAATAAATTCCGGATTACAATTCATCCAATGACTTGAGAACAATGGCTGAAAGACAAGAGGCATAGGCCAACACATGATGTGAAGTTGAAAAAAGAAACCTAAAGAAAAGTAAAAATTTCAATGGCAAATCTACAGCATTCATATATTAGCATAACAGAAGAACCATTCCTAAGACAAATGTTGGGGAGTGTCACACAAACAGGATATACTAAAAAGAAAAAGCAGAGATTGTTGGAGCTAAATTCTTACAAAGAAAATTCCAAAATTATTTTGAATGGAGATATTATCATTGCAATCCAATATTCTAACTTGCTTGAGATATTTAACAAAACCAAGAGGATGTGGTGCCATTGGCGATAAAAGAAGATTAAGCCTTGAGAGTCGCTACTCAATGTACAAAAAATCATATAGCGTCTGATTCGGACACAATGTTTTAGTTTGCGTCTTTAGCTAACATATCGCCAATTGCCATGTTCATATCAAAATTTGGGACCTGTGACGCAGACTATGAGAATAGAAGATACCATCATGATTGATGACTTGCTGTCATGGCCCCCTAATGACAAGATTGCGTTTCTCCAAGCCAAAATGCTCGCTTCGGCTGTATGTTTTCTCTGCTTGTGTAGCTGCAAAAATCGATACTTCATCAGCTTCATCAATACCCCCGCAGTAGCTTTTCAAAACAAGTAGGTTTCATAACTTTAGCGGTGCAACTCAATATAGCCAACAAAATTCAGAAGTAAAGATGAGGTCGTGCCCATCTGGTTTTTCATCGGGTCATGTGCCAAAAGTCGACTGTAACAGGGGGTTTACAAAGGTATCACAGCTAAAATTTGAACCAAACAGATCTTGTAGGCTCGACGTGCATTCTCCAGCTACACCTAGTGGTTGAAACTTGCTGCAGTTTTCCTATCTTCTCCCCAAAATGTATACTTGACATATGGTCATCATCAACCTTGTGAACCTACAGCTACATGTATATTACATCTGGAAGGAATCACGATGGACACTGCAGAAATATGACGAATGCGTGCGAGCGGGGCAGCAAGTGGATCTAAACAAAGGAGATTCTTTGAAGGCAAAACTCCGGACCACCTGCAAACCTGTTGATTTGAAGTTTCAAGAGCTTCAATGCCTTCAAATAAGTTTTCCGCAAGCTAATTATTGTAACCCTCCTGCTCAAACAACACTAAGGCTCTCGGAAAGACTGGGAACTAACATAAACTATTATCAATGAACAACAGCGCCGAAGGAAATCGAAATCGATGGTCCCATGAATTGCACCGTAATACAATACCGACATCGTAACGATAAACACTTCAGCAATTTGAGTTACTCTTGAGTTAATATACTATTTTCGTGACGCTTTTCACAGATCACCAACCTCAGGCGGTGAGATCAATTCAAGTTTGTGGACTCACTTGTCCTAGACATGTTAAAACTTTTTTCATGCGTTAAAAAGCAGGCTTAGATATGTTTCAAAAGCTACACTCCAATCATGCTGACGGAAAACCCCAGCTATTGAAACCATTGGCCCAAACTGAAAGAACTCGCTGCCATTACTGCAATCCTTCCTGCTACTCACCAACTAAACCAACACCCCCTCTTCAACCATTGCATGGACCTTCGCGTAGGCCAACAATCCAACGTGCTAAATTTCATCCCCTTCGACAACGACACGAGTTACTAAAAACTCAATTAACCTCCCCAGTAAAGAAACATTACTTACCACACCACCCATCAAGCCATATATATATTATATATATACACACACACCCATGAGCCTGCAAATTGTCACACCCGTGTCCTAAACCTAATTCAAAAACCATTCAATCTCACCACGAACGCAGCAATGCAGGTCCCATCAATCCCCGAAACCGCAAAACGATGGAAAGCTCAACACACCTGAGAGAGCCATTCCTCATGAGCACAAGGACCCAAAGAGGAGCCAAGCATGGGAAAGTGAGGGATGGAGAACGCGTGGACGCAACGCGTGGAAGGGGGATTCCAGATCGGGACCCAGTGTGTGCGGGAGAGAGGATGTAGCTAGCTAAGCTAAGAATTTGCCGGACTCAGTTGCCACTCGTTCGCCGATACGGTGTCCACACACAGGCAGGCAGTCAGTCAGTTCGTCACTCCATAAGACGAAGACGCTTCCCTGCCACTTCCCTCCCCTCGCCGGAGCTCGCATGCATGGATATGGCCACGCGAGCCCTGCAACAACCCC